ATATGATGAAAAGAATATTGACATTAAAAGACTCCTTAGTACTGTATTCGGGCGCGCATGATATACCAATTCTTAATGCTGATGAATGGCTCGACTTGAAAAAGTGTGTTGCAATACTAAAGCCGTTCGAAGAAATTACAAAGGAGTTAAGTAGTGCTACTGCAACAATAGCATCAGTGATTCCATTAATATATACTCTTAAAAACACACTAGAAACAGAGAAGAGTAAAGAAGAGACTTCTGAGAACTTCAAATTAATGATTACGAAAATGATCCAAGACATCAATGTCAGATTTCAGGATATTGAAAATAATAAAATATATACAATAGCTACTTATCTAGATCCACGGTTTAAACTCAAGTTTTTTACTGAAATTACGAAGGAACAGGTACAGTCTGAGATTCTGGGGATTCTTGGGTGTTCAAAAGCTTCTCGTGATGAAGGTCCTTCTTCACCTAAGAGATCACGGAATGAGATTCCGACAACAAGCTCAAGCAACTATTCACACATTCAATCTTGTCTAGCTGAAATATTAAGCTTAAGTGACGAGGAAGAGCAAAACATAGATTGTGGTGATGATGTGCACAATCAATTTATTGTTAAAAAGACATTACTAAATGAATACAACAGGGAGAAACGATTGACACTCAATGAAGATCCACTTTTATGGTGGAAAATGCATACCAAGTACCATTGCTTAAGTGATTTAGTAAGACAGTACCTTTCTCCACCTCCTGGAAGTGTACCAAGTGAGCAGCTTTTCAGTGCAGCTGGGTTAATTTATGACCCCTTAAGAAATCGACTTTCTGGTGATAAGGCTGCGAAATTGCTTTTTGTTAAGTATAATTTACCTTTGCTTAGTTTCGACTATTAAAAGAAATCATTAAGTGAAAGACAAGTAAATATTTTGTTATGTTATGTTCAGATTTTAGTTTTTATTCTTCAATATGCAAAGACTTAAGAAGACTGATTTATGCGTTGTAATAGTTCCTAGAAATATATTGAAGAATATAATAGAAAAAAAAACTAATAGCATTGTTTTTGATTATAATAATTTTGTAATAGCATTTTTAAGTAGATAACTTAAAAATATGTAGGTAGCTACATTAATTAGTATACTATTCTTATAAAATTGTTAATTACTTGAATAAATGACTGATTGTAACCAAATGATAACCAAGATATAAAGCCAAATGATTACCTACTTATTTGTATTTTACTTAAATACCTCAAAAATCTTATCCGATCCGAAACTAACGGATAATCCGAAATAATTTTATATCCGTAACCGAAACCGAAACCGATATAATATTATTCCCATATCCGTATCCGTATCCATATCCGAAATATCATATCCGTAACATCCCTGGTATAGATGAACCGGAAATTCTTTTAACTGGTAACGAAGCATTGCATCTTAGCCCTCCTGCGTTGTCACGCATCTGCATTTTGATTCTTGAGGATAAATGTAGATATCTATGGGCCGCAGCTTCCACTTTCCATCAGATGGACTGCGCTCTCTTATTCTATAAAAAAAAAAAAACTCAAAGATTAAGTACCGTTTTTTTATCAGTAGCTTAGCTTTAGTTCCATATGTATGCATCTTGCCGTTTTCAAGGAGCTGTAGAGAGCCATAATTCTTCCGGGTTATCACTGAAATATTTTTGTATGAGACTTACTCTTGTGTTGCTAGTTAAATTAGCGTCTGTAATAGCAATTGGAAAAACTAACCAATGATTACTGAGGTCGGGTGCAAGTATTAATTTATTATCCAGAGCAGCAAACTTAAAAAAAATACTATAGATACTCATATCACACTGTTCCGTTAGTGAGCACAGCACTGATATCCTACACTACCTATGATTTTACTACCCATTACCAGTGTGTGAGATTTGGTTTCGTCAAGGTTCTTCGCGTCATTATTAACAATTAGTCCGCCGCGTTGCTTCAGCTCGTGTTGTGCGAATTTCAGGTCTTCAATATATTTTTATTCCTCTGACATTCAGATTCCCTCACAATAGTTTCCTTCAACCTCGAGCACGTGGTAATTCAACTTTTAAAATCGCGAGCAGTACTTGCAATTTTTTGCTCCGGGGCTAAGCGAGTGCTTAGCCCCGGAGATACTAGACTCAGGTATAAGTTTTTTGTCTGGGAAATCTAGCGATCCAATTATGAAGTTCCATATTTTTGCAGCAATATCATGCGAGATCGCACAAATGCATTTGTGTGTTTTTTAAGAGGTAAACCAGAGTTGTCATAATATAAATAAGGAAAAGCAACGATTCATATGCGTTACATTCCTGAGAAGCAAAACCCTCTCTCGGAAATCAAGGAAGTCCGCCGCGTTGCCCCAATTTGTTGTCAGACTAGGTACATGTTGTCGAAACGTTATCAATTTTTCAGATATTCATGTTTTCTCATATAATGTTTTCCTTCAACGCCGAACAAGTTCGATTTGCTTTGCTATATATGAAATTAGCCTAACATAATATCGAGGAGTAAAACATTAGCGTAAAAATATAAAACTGTAGAAACAAATGGTTGGTATCTTTTATTTTAATGGCTATTCAATTTGTATGTACAAAGGAACAATGATTAAACAAAATGCAACTTAAATACAACTTACATCATGTAAAAATAAACACAGACTATGGCAATAAGTGGAAAATAGGATCGATTTTCAGGGTGATTTCAAGAAACCAGCAATGTATTCTTAAGTATGACGCTTAAATATAAAATGATTATATAAAAACTAGTCTTGCAACGAATAGTATATTCTGCCACACGCCTAATACAGAATATTCTGCGGTCTTCCTGGCCGAAAAGCCGAATATAAAGGCATAAGTATTCGGCCGGGAAGGAAGTAGCGTCTATTCTTTAGAGCGTCTATTTTCAGAAGCTGGAATTGTCTATGAGAACGAAAGGAGTAAACTACTGCCTGAAAATTAAGAAATATTAGTCTTTCTGTACCATTATCTTGCATTTTCATTTTACCAATTATCTGACTACAATAAAACCTCTCACTTAAGTATTCGGTATTCGTCCGAATAGTACCTAAATATTCGATATTCGGTCGAATAGGATGAAAGTAGTCGAATAGGCCGAATATCGAATAATAGCCGAATATTCGTTCCAAGTCTAAAAGTAATACATCTTTTTAAATGCTTGAAAGTTTTACACCACAAAAAGAGCAAGGTATAGTATAGTAGGAATATAGTGGTAACCACATATATATTAAACTGGAAACCTCAATTCTATGTTTATAAAGAATTTCATAGACGCAATTTATTACGAGACATACGCATCGATAATTCCTAACTATTTCGTGTGGTGAGTCATTTAATAAAAATCATAGTTATTGAAATACCAAACACTTTAGTACCTTAAAATTCATCGTCTTTTAATATGTTAACTTGGTCATAAAGCAGTCCATGTCATAAGTCAGTCATGTATTTGAACTTGGAAATTACTTAATAAGTATGTAACGATGGAGTAAACTACGTTAGACATCGCCATGCGGTAACGGCTTAAGATAATCAATTAACCCATATCACCCCGTGCCAAGTGGCGCTTATGGGAAATTAACTAGGCGGCAGGACTCCCTTACTGGCTAGCAGTGTGTCTAGGTAGGTATCACCCTGTTTTCCATTTCTGGAGCCAAACAGCAGTACTAGCATTGAGAGCCAGTATAAATACAAGCTGTGAGGTATTTCACCTTAATCCTCAGAGGTGACAATGCATCTGTAACCTTTTTTGTTTGAAGTTGATGGCATTGGCTGTCGTAGACACTTATCATAAGGTGGACTGTGAGTTCACTGATCACTTCAGTTTTATAAAAAGGTGCTAGATATTTTGATTTTATGGCGGTGTAACCTAAGAGTCTCATTACCCGGAGGTTATTTTTTTTTTAGGATAAGGGTGACAAACGAGCACACAGTCTACCTGATGGTAAGTGGTTATACTGTAGCTCATATACATCTACATCTATTCTCGATTACGAATCAAAATACAGATGCGTTGTCACCCTTGAGGACTAAGATGGAATGCCTCAGTTTCCAGTAAAAAAGATCGCCGGTTCTCTACACTCACCATACGGAACGGAGCAGCGTTAAGCTGCTATTTTACGCTGGTATTCTGTGAGAGCGTGGTCCTTCCCTGGTCGAGCCGACCCACTCGTGCTATAACTATACCAGTAATTAGCTGCAGCATGGCTCTACCACGTAAAATACCCACACCGATCTACAGCCATCTCCAGCACGCCTGCTAAGCGTAATTATGATCATGGCAAATCCTCCCTAAAATGGGAGATGGCTATCCCAACGGTGGACTTTTACGGTTTAGTAAAGAAAAAGAAGTATAGCACGTCAAAACTTTGGTTTCCTGATTGAAAATTTGTGGTAATATATTTTAATTTCTATAACAATCAAAATATCCAAAATTTAATTTTGATTACTTTGATCGTTGCTCTATTCACTCTCTATTATTTCAACGGACAAGTTTATATAGCTCGAAAATATAAATGAGAAAAATAAATATAATACTGTTGCTAATAAAATTAGATTATTTTCATTACAAATTGAAAACAATAACCATGGCACAACGCAATTTTATTGGAGATAACTTGTAGCAAAATGTACTTTCTCTTTTCAATCAAGTTACAATATGCCAGTTCTTATTCCAATTTACTTTAAACTGTATATAAAATGCATAGGATTACAAATTTTTCAAAAAATGAGTAAACCTATAAGCTTAAGCTTAGCTGTTCACAGTGCTCTTCATATCTTCTTCTGACCCTTTTCGACAAGCGGAGTTTGTAAAAAATATATTTAAACTATTATAAATTCATACAAACTAACCCTAACAAATTATTATCAACAATATTTTAGTATTATTACTTACATAGTTTGTCCTATAAAGTACACATACACTACATATTAAAAACTGTAACATACTTATGTTATTTTAAAGCTTTTATACAGTAAAATCATACAGATTAATATCACTTTTTAGTCTTCACATGTACAACATGTTTTAGTATTTCTTCGTGAGATATTGGTGTCGCAGGAGTGCTGTGACATATCTTATTTGGAAGTACCCTGTATACGTTTCTCCGGTGGGCATCTTCCACTAATGTTCGCCACTGTTGGTTCTTCTGCAAGTGTTAAACGTTTATATAATTAGAATAAAGCACCTTTAAAAAGCGGTACTACCGACCATGATCGCGTCTCTTGTACCAACCGTGATGACATTTTATACTATTGATCATGATCGCGTCTCTTGTACCAACCGTGATGACATTTTATACTATTGACCATGATCGCGTCTCTTGAACTAACCGCGATAATATTTTATACTATTGACCATGATCGCGTCTCTTGTACTAACCGTGATTACATTTTATACTACCGACCATGCTCGCGTCTCTTGAACTAACCGTCATTACATTTTATACTACTGACCATGATCGCGTCTCTTGAAATAACCGTGATTACATTTTATACTACTGATCATGATCGCGTCTCTTGTACTAACCGTGATTACATTTTATACTACTGACCATGATCGCGTCTCTTGTACTAACCGTGATTACATTTTATACTACCGATCATGATCGTGTCTTTTGAAATAATCGTGATTACATTGTATACTACTGACTATGATTGCGTCTAATGAACTAAGCGTGATTACATCTTATACTACTGACCATGATCGCGTCTATTGTACTAACCGTGATAAAATTTTAACTACTGATAATAATCGCGTCTTTTGAACTAACCGTAATTACATTGTATACTACAGACCATGATCGCGTCTATTGTACTAACCGTAATGACATTATTACATATATTAATTACATTTTATACTACTGACCATGGTCGCGTTTATCGTACTAACCGTGATGACTTTATATACTACCGACCATGATCGCGTCTCTTGTATTAACCGTGATTACATTTTATACTACTAACCATGATCGCGTCTATTGTACTAACCGTGATGACATTTTATGCTACTAACCATGATAGGGTCTCTTAAACTAGTCGTGATTACTTTTTATACAGTCAATCGGGGTAACTTTGACAGATCATCACTATATTTTTTTAGTTACCTTTTACTATGTTAAATATGAGACAAAAGAGTTTACTTAATCTTTGCTCTCAGCTTGGTTTTCATACTCTCAAGATATTTAAAGTCTATAAAAATCATAAAATATATCAAAAACTGACAATTTTGTTGTGTGTCAAAGTTATAACCCCTATATGGATAACTTTGACACAGATGACATTTAAACATTTTATAGCTTCAGGGTAACATAAGTTTAAGTTTTTAACAAATTTCAGATGCAGTGGAGTCATATACAAGTCAATAAAACCGTAAAATTGTAGTTCTATCTTTATTTAATCTCTTTGGTAATCACATTTAAAAATTTAAAAGTTTACCACTGCAAAAAGACAACAGTTGCGTGCGGTACTTTTAACTAAGTTTTTAACATTAACTTTGGAAGATACCTTCTTTTTTTCCAGAGAGTTCGTTTACGAAGTTTGTTAAGTACACGAATTGTATAAATTTAATGTTATGCACTAAATGCTGTGCACGTAAAAAATAAAAAAGTATTTTGCAATTTGACTGTCAAAGTTACCCTTGTTAATCAAAGTTACCCCGATTGACTGTACTACCAACCATGACCGCATCTCTTGAACTAACCGTGATTACATTTTATACTACTGACCATGATAGCGTCTATTTTACTAATCGTTATGACATTTTATACTACCCGCCATGATCGCGTCTCTTGAACTAACCGTGATTACGGTTTATAACTACTGACCATGATCGCGTCTGTTGTACTAACCGTGATGACATTTTATACTACCGACCATTATGGCGTCTCTTGAACTAACCGTGATTACATTTTTTACTACCGACCATGATCGCGTCTCTTGAACTAACCGTGATTACATTTTATAATACTGACCATGATCGCCTTTCTTAAACTAACCGTGATTACATTTTATACTACTGACCATGATCGCGTTTCTTAAACTAACCGTGATTACATTTTATACTACTCACCATGATAGTGTCTATTGTACTAACCGTGATGACATTTTATACTACTAACCATGATCGTGTCTTTTTAACTAACCGTGATTACATTTTATACTACCGATCTTGATCGCGGCTCCTGAACTATCCGTGATTATATTTTATACTACTGACCATGATCGCGTCTTTTGAAATAACCGTGATTACATTTTATACTACTGACCATAATCGCGTTTATTGTACTAACCGTGATGACATTTTATACTGCCGATCTTGATCTCAGCTCTTGAACTATCCGTGATTATATTTTATACTACTGACCATGATCGCGTCTATTTTTCTAACCGTGATTACATTTTATACTATTGACCATGATCGCGTCTATTGTACTAACCGTGATGATATTTTATACTACCGAACATGATTGCGTCTTTTAAACTAACCGTAATTACATTTTATACTACTGACCATGGTCGCGTTTATTGTACTAACCGTGATTACATTTTTTGCTACTGACCATGATCGCGTCTATTTTACTAGCCGTGATTACATTTTATACTACTGACCATAATCGCGTCTTTTGTACTAACCGTGATTACATTTTATACTACTGACCATGATAACGTCTATTTTACTAACCGTGATTACATTTTATACTACTGACCATGATCGCGTCTTTTGAACTAACCGTGATTACATTTTATACTACTGACCATGATCACATCTTTTGAACTAAACGCGATTACATTTTTTACTACTGACCATGATCGCGTCTATTTTACTAGCCGTGATTACATTTTATACTACTGACCATAATCGCGTCTTTTGTACTAACCGTGATTACATTTTATACTACTGACCATGATCGCGTCTATTGTAATAATCGTGATTACTTTATACTATCGACCGTGACCGCGTCTATTGTACTAACCGTGATGACATTTTATACTATCGACCATGATCGCGTCTCCTGAACTAGCCGTAATTACATTTTATACTACTGACCATGAACGCGTCTCTTGAACTAACCGTGATTACATTTTATACTAGTGACCATGATCGCGTCTATTGTACTAACCATGTTTACATTTTATACTACTGACCATGATCGCGTCTATTGTACTAACCGTGATGACATTTTATACTACTAACCATGATCGCGTCTATTGTACTAACCGTGATGACATTTTATACTATCGACCATGATCGCGTCTCTTGAACTAACCATGATTACATTTTATACTAGTGACTATGATCGCGTCTATTGTACTAACCATGTTTACATTTTATACTACTGACCATGATCGCGTCTATTGTACTAACGGTGATGACTTTATACTATCGACCATGATCGCGTCTCTTGCACTAACCGTGATTACATTTATACTACTGACCATGATCGCGTCTTTTTAACTAACTGCGATTACATTTTATACTACTGACCATGATCGCATCTATTGTACTAACCGTGATTACATTTTATACTACTGACCATAATCGCGTCTATTATGCTTACCGTGATGACATTTTATACTATTGGTCAATAGTATAATCGCGTCTATTGTACTAACCGTGATGACATTTTATACTACCGATCATGGTCGCCTCTCTTGAACTAACCGAGATTATGTTTTACACTACCGACCATGATCGCGTCTATTGTATTAACCGTGATTACATTTTATACTACTGACCATAATCGCGTCTATTGTACTAACCGTGATGACATTTTATACTACCGATCTTGATCGCGGCTTTTGAACTATCCGTGATTACATTATATACTACTGACCATGATCACATCTATTGTACTAACCGTGATTACATTTTATACTACTGACCATAATCGCGTCTTTTGTACTGACCGTGATTACATTTTATACTATTGACCATGATCGCGTCTATTTTACTAACCGTGATTACATTTTATACTATTGACCATGATCGCGTCTATTGTACTAACCGTGATGATATTTTATACTACTGACCATAATCGCGTCTTTTGTACTGACCGTGATTACATTTTATACTATTGACCATGATCGCGTCTATTTTACTAACCGTGATTACATTTTATACTACAGGCCATGATCGCGACTATCGGTACTAACCGTGATTACATTTTATACTACTGACCATGATCGCATCTTTTGAACTAACCGCGATTACATTTTATACTACTGACCATGATCGCATCTATTGTACTAACCATGATTACATTTTATACTAGTGACTATAATCGTGTCTATTGTACTAACCGTGATGACATTTTATACTATCGATCATGATCGCGTCTTTTGAACTAACCGTGATTACATTTTATACTACTGATCATGATCGCGTCTATTGTACTCTAACCGTGATGACATTTTATACTACCGATCATGATCGCGTCTCTTGAGATAACTGTTATTACATTTTATACTACAGACCATGATCGCGTCTCTTGAACTAACCGTGATTACATTTTATACTACCGATCATGATCGTGTCTTGTGAACTAATCGTGATTACATATATACTACCGACCATTATGGTCGCGTCTTTTATACTGACCGTGTTGACATAATATATACTACCGACCACGATCGATTCTCTTACACTGACCGTAATGGCGAGCGGGTTGAGGCAGACGAGCAGCGCGTGGCGCGCGCGCGTGAGCATGACGTTCATGCGGCCCGCGTCCGTCAGGAAGCCCACGCCGTGGCTCCGCGCCAGCGACACCACCACTACGTCGCGCTCCTGCCCTTGGAAACTATCCACCGTGTTCACTTCCACTTGACCTTGCGACCTGTCAGCAAAAAAAGTAAAGTGCGCCATAAAATATAATTGTACAATAATGTTATTGAACAATACAATTTGAAATGTTCCTACGTCCAAACGGTACAATTATATTGAGTCAATAAAATTGACGAACGATTTCCGTCAATACTTCTGTTATAAGCAAACACGATAGCGATAAAAAGAAAATGCCACTGTACAGTAGCGAACACCTTTTAAAAGCCTTAACTGAGTGGCCCTGAACGGTAGACTCAAAAGATGTAATAACTCAAATCAATCTCAAACTCGCTCTAAAATTTGTTCAATATAAAAGTTGCACAATATAATTATCGGTGTAACTTATATAGTCTATTCTATAATCCCTTTCAATTATCCAATTTCATTTCGTAAAATTAATACGTCATAAGAAGCGGCTATGGAGAATGCCAGAATGATCTCTGCTTTCAATAGATGCGGTATGATTATCTCTATTACGTCAGAAGTCCTATAATTAGTGAAGAACCGTGTGGTTCTTTCACGGAATTACCAACTATCAGGAACAACAACCACATTTTTATACGTGGTAGAGCCATGCTGCAGCTATATTAGTAGTATAATTTTAGCACGAATGGGTCGGCTCGACCAGGGAAGGACCACGCTCTCACAAGAATACCAGCGTAAAATAGCAGTTTAACACTGCTGTGTTTCGTATGGTGAGTGTAGAGAACCGGAGACTCTTTTTACTGGAAAAGAGGCATTCCATCTTAGTCCTCACGGGTGACAACGCATCTGCATTTTGATTCGCAAACGAGGATAAATGTAGATGTCTATGGGCCACAGCAACTACTTACCATCAGGTGGTCTGAGTGCCCGTTTGTCAACCGATCCTATAAAAAAAAAACCACATAGTATCCTTTTACGGATGGTACCAGGTAAAACTAAATTTTATTCTTGATACTAACGAGTCGCTTATCATCCGCAGATTCCTCCTGACCAGATCTCTGTGTGCGCTGTATGGTGTGATGACTGCGAGGCTGAGCCCTCGCGTGCGTAATATCGCGTCCAGCGCCGCCGCAAGCCGTGCTACTCCCCACGCTTCCATCTCGTTTCCACCTGATGAACCTGTCCAAAATAGGTCCAATTTTTAAACAATAGCCAAGTTTAGCTGGATAAGAGAGAAAGAAATAGCTATGTATGTGAAAGAGATATTTTAAGTTATTGAGGGCTAATAACCTTTCTTATAAAAATAAAATGTGACTGATATTTCAGAAAAATATTAATCTTTACACATTTCTAACAATTTAACTTCTCCGCCAAGAAACTTCAAATATTTCACCTCATTCCACAGTTGCGCCGACCTAGTGGTAGAATATCCGGTCAAGTGTGAGTCGGACTCGTACATGAAGGGTTCTGTAGTATCATAAAACACGTTTCTAGTAGGGGAGCATCCTTTAATTATTAATTTATTTTTATTATTTATTCTTATAGCGGCAACAGAAGTGCTCATTCTGAGAAAATTTCAACTGTCTGCCTATTACGGACGGACAGCGAAGGCTTAATAATAGGGTCCCGTTGGTTACCCTTCGGGTACGGAACCCTAAGAGGTAGTCATCATCATCATTACAGCCCTTCACAAGTCCACTGCTGAACATAGGCCTCCCCCAAAGAATGCCACAAAGCACGGTCCTGAGCCACCTGCATCCATCGACTTCCTGCATGTCTTACCAGGTCGTCACTCCATCTCGTGGGGGGACGCCCTACACTTCGCCTACCGGTACGAGGCTGCCACTCGAGAACCTTTCTTCCCCATCGGTTGTCGGTTCTTCGAGCTATATGGCCGGCCCACTGCCACTTCAGCTTACTAATCCGTTGGGCTATGTCGGTCACTCTAGTTCTACTGCGGATATCCTCATTCCTAAGTTTATCACGCAGAGAAACTCCGAGCATAGCCCTCTCCATAGCTCGCTGAGCGACCTTGAGCTTCCTCATACGGCCAGCAGTGAAGGACCACGTCTCAGTTCCGTAAGTCATCACTGGCAACACGCACTGGTTGTACAATTTCGTTTTAAGGTTTTGAGGTATGTCTGACGAGAAGATGTGTCGTAGCTTCCCGAACGCTGAAGGTAAGAGGTAGTAGAAGCCTTCATTTGAATAACCGAAGGAGCACCTATTACGTCCCTGGAGTGAAACTTTACATTTTTTTTAAAATAATTAATATATGAAATTTTGAATTATAATAATTATATGCACATACACTCACTATTATAATGTTTCTATTTTATTTATACAATATGTAAAAAGTCAAATGAAAAAAGTTAGTCTGAAAAATCAATTGATTTGTTTTTGTTACAGTAGACTATATTATAATTTCTTCTTCTTTTTAGATTCTTTACTCAAAAATATAGAGTTAGAATATAAAATAATAAAACAAATTCAATTGTTTTTCCATATAAAAAGAAATTCAATCCAAGCTTACGCTCATTCATAAATCTGACTTAGTAAATTTAAATGGACTTAACCGGTTCAGTGCGGGTGACACGCCAGGCGTGCCATCGATTACTTTTGAGTGTAGCGTATGACACGCGAGTCGTGTCTTTTTAAAAATCGTTATAACTCGCTCAAATTGATTTTTTCGAAAATTTATCCAGAACAAAATATACATTATTTTGCGAGTAGTTCATGCATGCAGCTTCGTTTCTGGATATTTTGAAAATTTGAAATTTTTAGGGGTTGACAACCTTTTTTTAACGTGTATATGGTACTACTTTTACTTTGTGGGTTTAAATTAATGTTATGGAAAAATTGTCTAATAAGTAACAAATAATAGCACTCATTGCGATCGCTCACAAACTCAAGTTGTAAATAAATTTCTGGAAAACAAAAAAAGAACAATGCGTTTGTCTTATTGTTTTAATTTTGCTTAAAATGGTTGAACTGCCGTCTTATTACTATCATATGTCCGAATAGACCTACGAAGTAGAAGTACCATGTGCTCTTGTGATATGGTATAAGGTTTATTTTTGCTTGAAACAGTTCGAAACCGTTCATGCATAAAAAAGTTCGCTAATAAATAGTCTTTTGTCAATCCGCCGCCGTATAGCGCCTTTTTCCTTTTGAAAACACTTGTTTTGCTATTCTTACTAATTAGACGTTTTCAGATCGACTTTACTTTTACATTTGTATAACATTAAATAATATTTATCATTTGTAAATATCAATGAATGATAGACTTATTTTTTTCAAATTAAGGTTCTTCATTGTTTGATATTCACAAATGTTATTATTAGGTGAAAATTTAATTTAATAAAAACCAAGGTTTCCAGGGTGATTTAGCTGTACCTACTTATATAAATGATTTTTTTATAACAACAAACAATAGTACAAAAGGTTTGTAATACTCTTCATAAAAAAGTCACTTTCTCAATTTCAAAGAGAACGTGTAAAAAAACACGTAGTTACCCACTAAAAACAAGTATCCTTCCGTTTGTAACTTATGTTTGATGTCAAATAAACTTAATTAGGTCTAAACAAGTAAAAAAAGCATAAAAAGAACATTACTTTTATACATGGCGGATGGCACAATAGGCGTGTCATGAAATATTTGTTCGCCGCCACAGCCAAAAGTTGTCGAAAATTGGTGCCGCAACGACTCGGTTAAAATATTTTTTCGAGGAAAGTTGTGATTGAAAAAACGCCAAGAGGATTATCAGAAGTTTTACGAGCGAGAATTTGACGCCTAACACTAATACCTGGAGACTCTGAAAGGCAAAGAACTGGCACTGGAACCGTTCAAGGCGTAAAATCCTTTTGGGTGGAATTATGATTAGAGCTAGAACGCCTTTGATCCCGTAGTGAGGCTCTATGACGGCAGATAGTCTATGAAACAGTCGCTACTGATTTAATTGTCAGACTATTCCGAATAAACCATGGGCACCAATTCGTACTGGCCGATTATAATGCGCCCGCACATCGAGCTCATCGAGTCAATGCTGCCCTACAAGGTTAGACTGGCGTGTCGCCTCACCTGACTTAAAACCAATAGAGCACGCGTGGGATGCTCATAAGCGAACTGTTTCAACCGTCAGCCACCTCCCGAGACAGTGTAAAAAATTTGGTTAAACAATCTTTTTCTTTCCATCAAATTTCTGTTATAATTACTTACATTAGGGTTGAATTATTCAATTTTTGTTATTAAAAAAATAAAAGAAGTTTGTAGAGAGAGTGTATTTCTATTTTAAAAAGATATAACGTAAACACTTTATCTTGATAAAGTTAAATTTTAAAAATATATCAGGTTTTGCTAGTGATCACAAACTTTTTTTGATGTGTCAGCATCATGACATTAAAGCGTTCACGTTTTCTTTAAATCTATTGTAAATAAAATTTACCTTGGCCTTTGTCCCCACTGGCGATACTGATGATGGTATAAGGCGGGATATTAAGATCAACGCGAGGGGGCGCTATCGTTTGTATCTTGCCGCCGTAGAATGCCCTGTTGGGGTAATCCGCGATCTCTTGGCGCATACGGTACTGTTGATTCAACAGGATCACTGGGCTGCCGTCGTTCCAATGTTCCGTGCAAGAAGTTAGCCGAGAAAATAAGCTTTCACCAAGTCCATGCTTTTTCGCACGCTGTGAAAGTTAAACATTTTGTAATAAAAAAACAGAGGTGCGAATTTTCCTCTTCAAATAAAAGTGCTGGTGTTTTTATACAGAAATAGCTTCGAAAATAAAGAAAACTGAAACGTAAAATCTTTACTATTTATTTACTTAATTTTATAACTTTATTTATAAAGTTAGCATACAAACTATATTATGTACTTAACATTTCAAAACACCCAATTGATACATACCACGAAGCAAATACAAAGAAGAGATGGCATAAGCAACTGTGCAGTGATTCTAACTAGGTCCAGCTATTTTAGCTAATTTGTTATATGGTAGGTATGCTATTGCAGCTATTTTATACGTGGTAGAGCCATGTTGCAGCTATATTAGTAGTATAGTTGTAGCACGAATGGGTCGGCTCGACCGGGGAAGAACCACGCTCTCACAGAATACAAGCGTAAAATAGCAGCTTAACACTGCTGTGTTTCGTATGGTGAGTGTAGAGAACCAGAAACCCTTTTTATTGGAAAAGAGGCATTCCATTTTAGTCCTAAAGGGTGACAACGCATCTGCATTTTGATTCGCAAACGAGGATAAATGTAGATGTCTATGGGCCACAGCAACCACTTACCATCAGATGTACTGTGTGCTCGTTTGTCACCCTATCCTATTAAAAAAAGGTCCTGACGTCATCACAGTGGGCGTGGCTTTACTGAGTATACTGTCGTTCGTCCTGTGCGCTTATGTGTCGAAAATCGCAAATCGGTGTATTTTCGTAGTATTAAGAAGAAAAGGATGAAGTGTTGTGTTTCATCGTGTAAAAACTCAGATAGACGCTCTGATGCTATGGATGGCATCACATTTCATTTATAAGTAATTTTAAATCGCGTCGGCTTTCATATGTAATTAAATATATTCGACACTAGATGGCGACACTTTGTCATGGGAACTAAAATATAAAGGTACGTAGGTATTGGTAAAATAATCATAAGAAGGTGTTGCAATTTGTTTTGCATTCATTCGTAAAGAATTTTTATCGCCAAAATATAATTTTTATAGTTTTTGTAATCATTTTGTGAACATGCCGCCATCTATCGTCAAGGTGGCTAAACGACATTGCAACATCGATATGGAACGATGCGAGTAGTTTTACTATTTATTAGTAGATGGAAAATAGTAAAGTGGGCGGGGCTTAACATCCCCTTACCCCGCAAATCGTCACGCGTTGTTACATACTAATCTAAAAGGAAATCTAATTACAATAACTCCTCTGTAGTTCCTCCGTGCTATATACACAATTAATATGATTTAAGTTAGTGATTCAATAACTAGATATTAATTCGCCCTCATCACTATCACAAGCTTATAAATTATTAAAGACCACAGCATGACACAGCGTCCAACCAAGTTGGTAGATAAACTACATATGAATACACGCAAACCGGGCCTTAGTCAAGTGGCCTTCCTTGATTAACTCTCATACAGGAGGTCAAAAAGTTCGCGGAATGGCAGGATTGGCGAGGGTGAGTTTACTCATTCAGGTAAGAGCTAGTTGGGTGACTCATTGTTAGTATATATACCAAGTTTCAGCCTAATCGGGTCATTAGCTTTTGAGTTATCAACGAGTAAACAATTCAATCGGGAATTGAATTAAGATATAAGCATGACTTATATCTTAATATAAGTCAACCGACAACTAGCCACTATGGCGAAAATTGAATATCGCACCGTCCTTAAGTTTCTCACCAGACAAGGAAAGGCACCTAAAACCAGTTTTCAAGAGATGTCAGCTTTTTATGGGGACTCCGCTCCTTGGAAAACCATGATTTAAAAATAGCACGCCCTTTTCAAACAAGGGAGGGACGCCGTTGAAGACGATCCCCGACCTGTACGGCCGATTGAGGCTACCACGCCAAAAATGCCCGGCTGAAGAAAAAACTTGCAGCATTTGTTGAAGTATCAGAAACAACCATTTTAAACATCCTACAACAACACCTTGGCATGACTAAAGTCTGTGCAAGATGGGTTCCGAAAATGCTTTCTCCGTATCAAAAACACTAGCGCGTCGAAAGTTGTCGCGAGTTTTTGGACCGCTGTGGAGAGCAAAGGGAGGAAGTTACGGCCTGAATTGTAACTGGTTATGAAACTTGGGTTCACCATTATGAACCTGAGCCAAAGCAAGAGTCGATGCAGTGGCATAGAAAAGGCTCACCCCCTCCTAAGAAGTATAAGGTGCCTCAATCGGCCGGAAAGATCATGGCGATGATCTTTTGGGATACAGAAGGTATCCTTTTGATTTATTATAAGGAACGTGGTGTTTCCATAATGGGAGAATACTACGCTTCTTTACTAGATCAAATAAAAGAAGCTATATATACGTTTTGTATAGGAAATGCGTACTTACTAGCAGAGATGATGAGGACAGTGGTGGTACCAATTGCTAAGAGTAAAACTGGTGACTGGCCACAGTGGTTGCTAAGGTTCTTGACGGTTTGCTTAATACACAGCTTGACTGGTATGTGAACACTCATGACAATCAATTTGGTTTTAAACCGGGACTGTCTACTGAGTCAGCTATCTTGTGTTTAAAGCAAACTGTCAAGTATTACTCCGAAAGGAGCACACCTATTTATGCCTGTTTCCTCGAACTCTCGAAGGCGTTCGACCTGGTTAGTTATGACATGTTATGGCAAAAATTAAAGAACACCTCAATGCCTCTCGAACTGATAGAAATCTTCGAGTACTGGTATTTTAACCAGGTCAACGTCGTTCGATGATCGGGTACTCTGTCGGAGCCGTACAGGTTGGAGTGCGGGGTGAGGCAGGGGGCTGACCTCGCCAAAGCCAACAGTGGTACAGTTAACAGTGGTAGAGCCACGCGGCAGCTTTTGCTGTCTCACGGATGGACCGATTCAAACAGGGGTGGTACCACGACCTCACAGAAAACCAGCGTGAAGTAGAGATTTACCTCTGCGTTTCGCTTGATGAGTGCAGGTGGCCGGAGGCCCTTTTTACTGGAAATGAGGCATTCCATCCTAGTCCTCACGGGTGACAACGCATCTACATTTTGATTTGTAATAGAGGATAGATGTAGATGTCTATGGGCCGCAGCAACCACTTACCATCAGGTGCACTGTGTGCTCGTTTGTCACCCTTATCCTATAAAAAAAAGCTCTTCAATATGTACGTGAGCGCACTGATAGAGGCGCTGAGAAGCACCTGTGTCGGCTGCCATATTGACGGTATTTGTGTCAATTATATTAGTTATGCGGACGACATGGTGCTGCTCAGTGCCTCGGTGTGTGGTCTGTCCAGTTTACTGGGATCACGGGTTGCTCTATAACGCAAAGAAGAGTGAATGCATGGTCTTTCGGGCCAGGAGGCGAGGCCGCCCAGAGACTGTTCCACCTATTAGACTGAACGGTGTCGAGTTAAAAGAGTCGAACAGTTTAAATATTTCGGGCATATAGTGACCCCTGACCTGAGGAACGATGCGGACATCGATAGGGAGCGGAGGGCGTTAATCACCCGCAGGTTTGCTCGTTGCTCGGGAGCCGACAAAATAACTCTTTTCAGAGCATTTTGTTGGTCCCTGTACACGGCCAGCCTGTGGGTGTCATATACCCAGAAGCAGTACAACGCACTCCTTGTGCAATATATTAATGCGTTTAGGGTGCTGTTGGGGCTGCCTGGGCACTGCAGCGCGTCAGGGATGTTCGCAGACGCCCGTGTCGACTGTTTCTACACAACGATGCGAAAGCGGTGCACATCTCTGGGGCGCAGGCTCTGGACCATCTCCAACACCATCTTGAGCGTATTTGAGAACAGGTTTGATTGTCAGTACATTAATCATTGTTATATGATTAGTGCAAGGACAAATAAATAAATGACTCACAGTCATATTATTGATTTTTATATTTAATGATGTTAATTTGGTTTTAATGGTTTTAAGTCTGGTTAATAATTTTATTTTAATATAATTCAATTTTATTTTAATTTAATTCATATGTAATTCAAAATTAAATATTTTTTTCATACGTACTACTGTAACTATGATCTGATGGATGGAAATAAATGATTATTATTTTCGGAAAGTGTTTTTCACTTCTCAGTCCTTAGACTGGAATTCAACTACATTTACGGGCCGAAACCAAAGCAAATGCAGCGTGAGTTATGTATTTTCATGAGGTCCTATTTCGTTTTCTTCTATCTGCATGAATTCCTGACAATTTGCATTTTTTTTATAGGATAGGGTGACAAACGAGCACACAGTCCACCTGATGGTAAGTGGTTGCTGTGGCCCATAGACATCTACATATATCCTCGTTTGCGAATCAAAATACAGATGCGTTGTCACCCGTGAGAACTAAGATAGAATGCCGTTTCCAGTAAAAAGGGTCTCCGGTTCTCTACACTCACCACACGAAACACAGCAGTGTTAAGCTGCTATTTTACGCTGGTATTCTGTGAGAGCGTGGTCCTTCCTCGGTCGAGCCGACCCATTCGTGCTACAACTATACTACTAATATAGCTACAGCATAGCTCTACCACGTAAAAATTATTTAAATAATAATAGCAGCTTTTTGCAGTGTAATGTAGAGGGTTTCCTTTAGGTCTAATAGTGTTAAGCTATGGAGGAGATGATTTGGTATTAAGCCTATTGTGGAGAGGACTGTAGGAACTACATATACTTTTTCTTGTCGCCAGATTCTAGTCACTTCATCTTTGAGCTCTGCGTACTTACTAATTTTTTCTGTGATTGTTTTTTATATGTTGTGTGTGTTGCGGACTGCAATGTCTATCAGGTAAGTAATTTTATTTATTTTGTCTTGTAGGATTATATCTGGTCTCTTATAATGGATTGTCTTGTCAGTAAGAATGGCGCCGTCGTACAAAAGCTTATATGTGGTTTATTCTAGGGTAATTTTTGGTGTATAATTGTAGTAAGTAGTGTTGGTATTTTTAATGAGTGCGTGTTTAAGTGCTAGTTTTTAGTGAATGACATTGGCTACCTGGTTGTGCCT